CATAGCGCCCCTGTGCGCGTATTAAGCAGCGAAAACTGCCCATTTTCTGCAGTCGCGTACTCAGAGATCTAATTCGCAGGAGGGATCACTAACTTGATCCTATGTGTAGTACACCTTCGACTACAGTGCGCGACTCAACACATGAGCTGTAATCCTCGGGCCCTGACGTTTGGTGTAAATGCTCGCCTAGGTATCACTTCCGAAGAGGCTGTTTATCTGCCTGCATATACAATGTAGATTTAAGTATGAGTGTGCTCGATGTGAGGTTCGCGATCACTTTTCCCTTTGCACTTCATTTCATTTCGTTTTTCATAAATTAGTACGATGAAAACAGTTTTCATAGCTAGTGAATGTTGCTTAATGTAGTTCGCTCTTTATGGAAGTGTGCAGTTTCATAAGATCTTGCTTGTAAATCGGCTACCTATAAGCTACTGGTTCCAGATTCGTGCCGCTGCAGCGAATTTGAATTACATTCGCCTTGATGGTAACATTGGATGCATGGGTTAGTATACAAAGTTGAATGCGTTCTAATACCTGAGAGTCTCATCGAATTTCAGTTTTCAATTTTCAGTGAACGGTGCTGGCCTAGCTATGGCCACTATGGACATTATCAAGCTTCACGGTGGAGAGCCTGCAAATTTCCTCGATGTGGGAGGGGGTGCTACAGTTGATCAAGTTACGGAGGCATTCAAAATAATTACGGCAGATGAAAAGAAGGTAATAGAAGTGTATATTTAAAGAGAATCTAGCAAATACTATTTTTGTATCTGAAGATCATATAAACGTACCCAAGCTTTGTTGCATATTTTTTATTCGCTTGTTTTTTTTTCGATGTCAGGCCTGAGATTGCACCTTTCCTAGTTGCAACGGAAGGATGAGCTAATTCCTACTTGAAGACGCATGTAATGGGGTACTTGACGATGTTTTGCTACAAGACGTTTCTTAGGTCGGATGAAAAAAACATTGCTTCCGAAAAGGTTGGCCGGAGGTCACAATCCGATTTTGCTGACGGAATCCTTTCCATTCTTCATTAGAACTTTTTTGGCGGAGTCTTTTTTGGAATGCTCAAATTCATGGGTTAAATGCTTCGCCTGTTATGCGACGCGTTGCGTCGACATGGCCCAGGCGCTAACTACGTTCTTGTTCCAATGTCATTTCCTGGGCAGGCATCTTTCGTCTTGAAATAGACCTCTACTTACCGTTTCATTTCTCATCTTCGAGTCAAAGTATCTGATGCGGACAAGTCTGCCGTACTCACTGAGGTGACCCTGTGAGGTAATCCGCCTAGTGGTGGAGTGTGAAAAACTGGCTGAAAGTTTAACCTCACCGTCACGCGAAACCTGTCATGAAAGAAAAAACAATGTTCAAATTTGAGTAAGAAAAAGACACTGAGTTTGCTTAGTAACACGAGCGTAGTCTGAACAAAGCAATTTGAGCCAACTTATTCCTCCAGAAGGGACGTGGCCGTTGTGAAATGAAGATTTCTTGACTGTAAACAGGTGCTATGCGTTCAGCGAAAAAAAAATGTTGTGTGAAAACTTACTTGTGTACGAGTAACAATGTTTAGGTAAATGCCATCCTTGTCAATATTTTTGGTGGTATAATGCGCTGCGACGTCATCGCTCAAGGAATAATCAAAGCGGCAAAGGAACTGAATCTGAAAATCCCAATTGTTGTTCGACTCCAAGGTTAGTTGATTGAATTTACGTTATGCTGTCATACGGAGGCGACCAATGTTATTTGCATTTCGCAGTTTCCGATGTCTAACGTTAACAACTTACAAGGAAATGTTAACTTCCCATGTAATTTTGGAAAGAGACCTTAAGTACATCGATAGTTTTGAACGCTGATTGAAAATATGGACGCTAAAACTGCTACGTGAACTTCTCAAGAAGGTCGTGATCCTTCAAAGTTAGCAAAAACGTTAGTGAGGGGAGCTGTACAGCATTAGTTAAGGCCGTTGTGACATAGTGAAGGGTTCTCGCTCCACCGCTAGGTCATGGGTTTGCTTCCCGTCGGTGCCTGGATTTTTGCACATTGTGCTTTATACAACGGTGGGTAGTGTCATGGAAGGTGAACAAGCGGTGTCAAAACGCGGCCATTTTCGTGATCTTAGTCAGCGGTACCTCTGTAGCTTGCATGTTCTCATAAAGTTATCGGAACAAATCATGACATCAGACTGGCTTCAGGTGGCCTGTGCCTCAAACAAATCTCATATTCAAGATTAGGGCACTTACCCCTAAAAGAAAAGTTCCAGTGAAAGTCGAGTCTCATCCTAACTTTGAATAAGTTACCGACCATGAGTTGCTTCTTAACTCGTCGTGAACGCCATAGTAGGACATCGAGGCGAGCCAAACACCCAAAACTTACGTCTGGGTGATGATTTAGAGACAAGCGAACGTCTTCTTCCGAGGGGTACGTCTGATATACATAGGTGCTCGCTCACCTTTTTTGAATTGAGGACAAAATTTTGATTTTGCTGGAACTTTGTCTATAGGGGTGAGTCCTAATCAAGAATTTGAGATTTGATAAGGCTCAGAGGAGCAACCTGGAGCCTGTTTGACGTCATGATTTTTTCCAAAAAATGTGCAGATCACGAAAATGGTATAGTGCTTTCTGGCACCCACTGACGATGAGCAAACCACGATCTTTTGTCTGTAGAGCTAAACCCCTTCCAGTGCGCCATGGCGACCTCGACTCCTCACAGATTACCTTACCTCATCAACGTTCTTCTGCATTTTTGAGGGCCCATAACATTTTTTGGAAGTTTACATAGCAGTTTCAGTATCCATATTTGTAATCAGTGTTCAAGACTCAGTTGATGTGCATAGGTCATCTTTCGAAGTTCCATTGGAGCCTCAAAACATCCTTTGGTTAGAGGTCACGGTTTGGTTCAGTTGCGTCTCACTTGATGTTTATTTTATTTATTCATTGAAATATGCTGTCCTAGACAGTCACTGGGGGTAACTGAGAAATTCTTCGACTGTCTAGTCTGGAATTCAGACGCACGCCTTCAACCTTTTCGTAAATCCCACCTTATTTCTGGAAAATCCATCGTTAGAATCTAAATTAAGTAGTAATATTGTGATAATAGTATGTAGCTATGTAACAATAATTTTAAATAATACGATAATGATCGGTAAATTTTATGTTGCGAAACCTTTTTTTGGCTGCACTCTTCCGAAAGAACAAGAACCAGTGTTAACCAAAATGAATTGTCAAAAAGGCAAACCTCACAATTTCTTACCAACAATGAACATCGAAACTGTTAAATTCGGGAAATTTACTGGACTTCTCCAGTAGTAAGATAGAAAACACAAAAAGATCCGGTGGGAGACCGCGTCTGATTTCAGATTAATAGATAGCTGAACCATGGTCAAGCACTTCGCGTGCATACTTTTCCCGAAACTTTGCGACCTCATTTCGTGCCGAACCATCTCGACACGACTCCTACCGCCATCATCAGCTTTATGGGGTTCTCAATGCGACCCCACCTCGACCACAACCTTCGCCATCATGACTTTTTCTATCGTGTTTGGTTCTAAGACCAGTCGACGCGAGCGGAAGGCCCACCTCTGCTTATTTCTCCTTCCAAAATAGCCCGTGAGGAATGAGACAACCTTCATTCAGCCCTGTCGTGCCAAGTCCAGGCCCTCCTCGCTTCGAGTTACCCACGATTCTTCATTCCTTTCGCTTCAGCGGGCGCGGCGTCCAATTTTGACGTCACGAGGGATCCAGTCGGTAACCGATATTTTTGTATACTACCCAAATTCCACGGATACGAGGTGGAGGGGGGGGGGGCAATATCGGGACCATAACACCAAAAAAAGAAGAAAAGGCGTCGTTGTGAATGTGTTGAATTGCACCGCAACTGAGTTCATGAAAAAGTCGACGATCGAAGCCTGGGCCAGCTTCTCTCAGTAAGCCGAAGCCGGAGCACATGGCTTTTATGAGCTTCAAATAGTGTTGGAGGCAACCATTTCTATCCCTTGCAGTAACTCCGTTACGGGAGTGTCAGACTTTGCGAATCCGTGGATTCGCTAGTGAATCCAGTGAATCTACGTATTAGCAGTGTGACCCCAGGCTTGGGACGATGTAAATAATCCGATGTACGATGTAAATATCGCAATTCATTGCGTTCCAATCCAAAAGACACTTCTATGCCATGATCGCTTTGTTACCATATTTTGGCGCACCCTGTATTATAACAATTGAAACATACAATGCAGTTGCTATGATTTGAAGGCTTTGCCTACGAAAAGAATTTGTTCAAGCTCATAGCCTTCCTTATAGGAACGAAAGTTGAAGACGCCAAAGCTCTTATCGCGACATCTCAACTCAGAATCCTTCCCTGTGACAACCTAGATGAGGTGGGTATTTTCTCTTGTAAGATGTCTCGCACATCTTCACAAACTCATGTACATTTCGGTTATCTTTAATGTAGGATGGAATACCGCTGTTGTTTGAATGTCATTTCCTATTCTTCACTTCACGTGAACTTATTTATTACCACGAACAAGCATTACGTAGTTCTACTCAAGTGCAAACCCTGAAAATTAGTTATAGTATTTCACTTTTGAATGCTGGTATAGGAAAACTCTTCCGCTCACTATTTTGATACTACTGTAACTTCTTGCCACCGTTATACTTCTAGTGATGAAATAAGTGTAGTGATGGCAAACTTCGAATAAGGAATCGAGCCTTGTTTTCCCATGAAAGGGGATATAATTGCATATTCCAGGATGCCCCCTCAGGTTGCATGTATTGTTTTAGCCTACTGGGAAAGGCAAGTCACCCGAACAATAAATAATGGCAATAATGGACCAGTTTTTATCGCTAGCACCATGGCACGAAAATAAGCACTTTTTTAGTGCAAAGTTCGCAGTTCGAGACGGGTCCGGTTTCCCTTTTTGTTTTCCGTTGCCTATTTCTCACAGGGTTCCTGGAAGACTTATTTTTCATCCGAGAACCTTTGCTTGAATGCGGGAAAAGAAGTGCAGCTGTTTACCGTCCTCATATGGTCGTATTCGCTGTATTGATGGGGAACCAGCAGCCAAGCTTGGTTGCGTTACCGATTTTGGGTAGCTCTTTGACTAGAGCCCTCCCAGGAATAACCGCAAGTTTCTTCATGGGTGCATACATTAACCGACCGGATGTCGCCGCATATAATAATATTTGTTTAAATTTGGCGAAACAAACCTTGCAGCATATGAACCAGTGCCATAGAGTTATGCAATGAATTTTGGATTCTGTCTGGTCGGAACATGGGCTGCATTTATGGCTTACAAATACATGATGGATGACTATAAATTTAGTGGAGTGAAAGTCTAGCGCTTTCCATAGCACTGAGCACTTGCATACCAAGAAGATTTTCAAAGTGCAGACATAGAGGAACCAACATTAAAATGAAAATCTGAGAAATCCGTACGCATCAAGGGACTCGAATCGCAAATTATTTCCATTCCTAGCTTTGTAGCATTCCTGAGAGACCCACGGAACAATGATCGATTCTTCTTTCCCTTTTGCCACTGCCCAATTATTAGGTACCGGATATCTTAGTGTCGCTTTTCTGAGTTCAGGAAGTTTTGGGGCCGATTACTATGGAAAATCAATATCCCAGAAGGCAGTTTTTGCTCATTAATATTGCGAAATATGTTGCTTACCGTCTTCTATTGTTGGTTCACAATTTAACTTTCCCCCAATTTTTATACTTTCTTCTGAAAATTCCTGGGTCCAGTGTGCAAATTCGCATGTGTGTACCAAATGCATCAAAATTCTTGCTGAGAGCTGTAACCTCCGCCCACCAAACCAACATTGCATTTGTTGGAGGGAATACTACCATTTAAAATGCTCATCGGTTTTTCACAGTTTTCTCAAAAGACAGTAAAGTCTTTGAAGGGATGCCCGCAACCGTCGCCAAAAAGGTGGTCCTAGCTAAATCAGTCAAAACGGGGCTGCACCAGTCTTGTGCTGGAATGGTAGGACACCCTAGCAGTTACTGATCGATGGTGCACAGACGCTCTAACGAAGTTGATTGACCAAAGAAATTCTAATAAATGTGCTCATCTGCTACTCACGTGTGCTCAAAAAGGGTGCGTTTTTGACCCTATGTGGCAAAAAAGACTCCGGGAAAAATTGTCCAGTTGAGCTGGTAAGTAATAAATTTTCCACCAAACAGTGCAGACCCTACTCTAACTAAATGTATACATATTTTGTCCAGGCCCAACTGTTTAGCAAGGTAGAGGGATGATTTGTCAGATGATGTCAAATTCGACCTACCTCTCTTTTTCGTCTCAAAAAATTCCTAACTTTAATCGTACGA